ACAACCCCTTGAAAAACATATTAGCCAAATAACATGTTTACATGGTTGGGGGAAGGCGTGTCTTTGCATGCGCGGACAGACTTGATGCTTTTTGGATGTATCATCAGTGGTCGGTGAAAACACTACGCAAAACATCAGGAACGTCACGTGTGCCTGACTTACATCTGCTTTTTGTTTGTCCCAGAAGATAATCGTTTTCCACCCATTCCATCAGTCACATTCTCTATCTCAATAGTGTTCAATAAGAGCTCGACTGTTCATTTTTTGGAGCCTGTTAGTCCTTCATTACACTCTTGTGTTGCAAGTTTGTCTTTTCATTCTTATTCAATGTAAGCTATTTAAAATATCTGTCCTAAATGTAATGTCCAGTCAGCTGTCTGTGACTGTGGGTTTTATCCAGAACACACAGCAGGATTTTTATAGTCACATTAACAGTAATATCTGTGGTTTTTAGTTAAAACGGGAGGGAAATAGTGAATGTCTTCTTCGGGGGTAATTGGTAATTTTATTAGTGTGGTTTTAAAAAAAAAAAAGAAAAAGAGTGAATGGAAGGCCAACTCCGGTCAGTACTAATATTTACGAGTGACTCTGTCAGCCGTGTACGTTCAAGCCAGCAGCGGCAAATGTCCTTGGTGCTATTTCTGAATGTGGTCAGTGGAATACCTCTGCATATGCCAAACACCTCTGGCATGGCTCTCAAATGGCCAGTTTTTTTTGTTTCCAAACCACTGCCAACAGATGTTTGGAGTACCACGTTAACCACGTATTAATAAATTGGTGAGATTTATTTCTGGGGAGCAAATATCATGGCACATCTTTGAAATATTCCCGTCGCTGTACCTCGTAACTGTCACTAGACTGTGTTGTTTAGCCCTGGCGAATTGTAACTTTGAAAGGTCAAGCCAGCAGATTGTAAAATAAACACCTGTCACTGCAGACAAGTCTTTAGACAAATTGTCATCCAAGAGGATAAAGATTGTGTATCTTCATCTGTGTGTCTGCTCAGGCAGTGGATAATGGAACTGCGGTAGAGACTCGGTTTGTTCATGTCTAAGTATAACTCGTGTTATATGGAACCTCTCCCAGTCTCTGTGGTTACTTCTATTGGGCCGTTCCCCAGTTAGGCTTGCGGTGAATTGTGAAACGGCGAATGTGGGACTGTTTTCCTGCTCCGGCTAACTTTAGCCCACCCGAGACAGATGGACGTTTGAATTGTGCAAAACTCGGCTGGTCTGTTTTGTGTGGTTTCAGAACATAAAGGGCCACAGAGGATGGAGTCATTCTACTCTGGTGCACTGGTTGTGCGCCTTTTGAAAACTGCGTGACCTTCTCTTTGGCATCAGATTTTCCCGCGAGGCTTGACTGGGTGCATGACATTAACACAGGAAGAGAAACGAGTCTTACAAGAAAAATACAGTAAAAGGTATAAAGGCGTAAAACGAACACATGTAAGCCTCTGAAAAATCAACCTTTTAATGAGCCACTGCTCTGCAGCCAAACAAATGTGTCTGTTTCAGAAACTAGAGGTCCGACGTTGTGTGCAAAATTACTAACTAATGAGCAGATGTTTCCTTTTCCCCTCGAGGAATAGTCCAGTGAATAAGTTAAACATAGTCTGATCTTTTTGCAGATTACTCTCAGAATTACAATTTCTAAATACAACATTTTTTATTGAATGATCAAAGTAGAATATAAACTGCACCTATACAGGTCAAACAAGACAAGATTTCCCTTCCCACTGTATATCGTTTTAATATATTTTTTTAGTGCATAATGTTCATGATTCTGTATGTGTCTCCAACAATGACTGCTGACAACACCTCTTATGTAATGGCTTGTTTGATAATGTACTATTTGCCGTTCATACCAGAGCGTGCAACTGTGAAAGTGTTGTTTCTTTATTTTCTTTTTTCTTTTTTGTTGGATCTAATGCTGCAGGCATCCGTGAGCACACAGTGTTCACACACTTGCACACATTTCAGTCTTTCCAGCTACTTTAGAGCATTTGGCACACAATAATTGCACCTCCCTGGGGGCTACACGGTAGACATGTGGGAATGCATTGTTCTGAAAATACGCAAAGGAGAATGTGAATTGCTCTGAGTTTCGGTGCATAAGGGATTGAAAAGGACTGCAGTTCTAGAAAAGATGAAGACAGAACAGGTGAAGCCAAGCTTAGCATCAAAGTCTTAATTGTTCATTTTGAAACATACAGCTGAAGATAATAACCCTGCCCAAAGAGTGAGCATCATACCCAATTACAATCTCAGTCGCAGGTTGACAGCTGCTCTTGGTTTAAGGCTTCCTGACTCAGTATTTTTATTCACAGTGAAACTACTTTCATGGATTGCCATTATAAGATACCAAAGAAACTATTGACCAAAGTGCAGGCGGCTAGCTGTTTGTGGTGCTGTTGTTATCTTAAAGACATTTAAATGAAACAATCAATATCCCAAATAAAGTCCCAATGAGGCAGTGTTCCACAATGTAGACATAAAAAGGTTGGGTTCTTTTTGCTGGTTACGATTTAAATTAAACATGTGCCTCTGATACAGAATAAACCTTTCCAAGCAGAACTTGCAGTGCAGTTCGTAAAGAATGCATAGAGGGATTGTAAAGTTACTGCACCTTCAGATGTTTTTGTTTGAATAGGTCTTGTGTGGGATGTTGATCTTTATTTATCTGTAAAACCATCAAGCCAGCCTTATTTAACAACTGCCATCTGGACCAAAACATCCTCAAAATTTAATACATTTGTCTTTCATCGAGCCTCAGCTTTAATGAAATTGACATTTTTGTAATTTGTGATGTAATCCTGCCAAAATTCAGACAAAGAAATAAATAGTAATTAGCAATCATAACTATATTAGTATCCTCAAAATAAGTATGATATACAGTTTGTAAATTGTACTGCCATTTTACAGGCTTAGAATAGAAATAAAGCTGAGTGATGCTACATTCCGTTTAGCTGGTCACTTACAAACAGATCCAAATCCACCTCTACTATGTAACATCTGTTTTGAAAGAGCTAACATTTGTGGTTCATTTGCATTTGTGTAAATTTAATTACAGGAAATTTCTTGAAGTAAAAGGAACCTTTTTAGGTATTTTTTGTTTAAGGATTATTGATTTCTTGTGAGTTTAATTTCTGAGGTAGTGCCACCTGCTGATTAGAAATAAATTGAAAAGGGGTTTATTAGGTCTATTTCATTTAATCCACTCAGACATTTTGGAAGGTGTAATCTAATAATGATAAACATTAATTTTATTATTTATAATTACAATAACTATTTTTTCTTCTTTCAAGGACAGAAATCTGACTTTAGCTCAGTTTTTCCATCTGTGTTAGTTATTAAAGTTATCAAAAAGTCACAAATTAAACAAATAGCAGAATATTCAAATGTTGCCAATCAGGACAAAATCTTGGCTTTTGGATCATAAATGATTTCAAACATTTCCCATAACCCATAACACTCAAGACTGCTAATCCCATTTGGATGGGATCCCATGTGAGCAATATAAAACACCCATTACAACTCTTTTAGATTAATTTCCAATTGAAGTATGTTTCCTCTATTATTTAATATTTTTATTTGCCCTCATTTCTGTGGAACCACTGTGAATTGCTTCTGGGTGAATCACTGGTTTCAGAAACATATCTATGGGAAATTTAAATACAAGTTTGTTGAAGAAACTGATGTCCACTCCACATTTGGATTGAAGCCTCAGTCACCTGTCCTGCAATTCGGATGCATAAAACTGGGACTTTTAAACTTTTGATTACTTCTAAAAAAGTCTGTCTTCAGGAGCCATGTCTTTAATTACAACTCGCCCTCCTGCCCTGTGGTCTAAAACTCTTCTTTTTTAATCTATTGTAAGGGTAATGTGCATGCCTACACACTTAGTTTCACACACAAATGAGATGCAGCCGGGGTGATAGGATCTGTGTGATGCTGTGTAAATTTCCCTGATGAAAGTTTCCTCTTTTTTTCGTGGACACAATGACAGACTCGAACAAAAGCAAACGCTGCCTCACGGACACACACACACAAAAACAACCGCACACACTCGGGCACACAGAGAACAAATTCACTCCCTTTGCGCTGCCAAAGAAGTACCGCAAACAAAGATTAGAGAAAACACATCAATTTATGTGCCGCTGCTCTTTATTTACTCTGCAGCTCGGGCCTGGGGTGATAAAGACTGCAAACACACGGTTTTGACTCCTGAGCAAGACCACTACAGCTGAGGCCTCTTTTGCAATAAGCTGATTCCCATATAACTGCACTCATTAGAGGACCTTAGTCTGGACTGTACATGATAATCACTGACAAACTGGAGACAAATACATGGAGTGTCAAAGACTTTGGGCCTGTTCTGTAGTGTCAGTGTGAGAATGCAGTTGTGATGGCAGTAATGGTACTTTGATCATGCCAGTTATACAAGAGTTTTTTTTTTTGTTCACCTCTCGCCAATCTGTCTGTGTGTCTCTCTGCATTCCCCAACCTGACGGAGAAGCTGCCCTGGGCTCTGGTTTACCGTCAGCAGAATTTTGATCCTTACCCATATTAGGCAGGGAAACAGATTCTCTTCACCTGCAGACACAACGCTTACAGCTCTGTCAGGATCGCTTTATGGCATTTTGACCATTGACATTTCCATGTTTTTGTCAAGTCGGGAGAAATTTCCTTCTTCCAGTTTTCCTTTTATTCAACGCAAACACACTATATTCCTCATTTTCCATTAAGCTATGTGTCACATAGCTGAAACTTCACTTACGGGCTTAACTGACATTTTAATAGTGCTAAGAGTCATTAGGTATGCGAGTATCGTAGTTCACAGAGTCTGAGGGGAACTTGTGTTTACTATTGTTGTTGTGCCCGTAACTGTTGGTGCCGTGTCTTCCGGAAAGCCTGTGCGGGGGGCTGTCGTGTCGGCCTCGCTTTGACTTCCACTTGTCGGCGTGCCGTCCTCATCAGTGTGATTGAAGAGGCGCTAACATGTCTGGGGTGTTTGCATTGGTCCATCTGGAGGCCATTTCAAGTCCTTACCAGGACGAACCGAAGCCCCCGTGCCAACTGTGGCCGCAGAGGATGGGTGGGGGTGCTGCCATTGGTGGGACGGTGGTTGGAGCTGGTCTAAGCCGGGGGAAGTGCGCCACTATTTCAGGATCAGTAAGCAACAGAAGTAAGATCATAAATAGCTTTTATTGCAGAGCCGCTATGCTGGTTCCATGCTGGTCTTTCAGCAAAATCGCAGCAGTGATTGATGGTTCCCATGTGCTCAGGGAGGAGGGGGTGCAATGCGGGGGTGCAATCGCCGACATAGCCCAGCAGAGCCTTGCCTGCCTGCGTCCCTCAGGGTTTCCCTCTGACAATCTCCAGTCCCCATCTCAGCCTGCAGGTTTCTATGTGTGGACCCAGCATGGGTTCTTGTTTCAAACAGCTTCTGCCTCAGGCTGAAAGAGACTGCCATAGAGTACAGACACACTCACACACTCATGGAAGAAAAACTGGAGAGAACTGTTGGTCCTGGTGGGCCTCCATCCAGCAAGTGGATTTACAGTAACTATTCATAAATAAGCTTGCTCCTTTTGCTGTCTTAACGGTGAAGAAGTCGTACAAGATCGGTCGAGGAGTGAAACTTGACAGTTTGAGAACAAAAAAAGAGAACAGTCTCTTTGGAAGATCAGTCATAATAAAATTAAAATTAAATCTGACCAGAGCTGAAAACTTACACTCCACTTTAAAAGAACAATGCTCTCATTGGACTCTGGCTCCATCTTAATAAATATGGGGTTAAATTATGAATAGTTCGCGTCCCATTAAATTGAGGATTGCATTTTTATTTTAGCAAGTTTCGTCACAGTATAAAAACAGAACTTGTAGATGGTGTCTCAGGCAAAATCATTTTCCTTTCTAAACTCTGTTGTTTCCTGCCATCCTGCATGCGTACGCAATACTGCTTGAAGATTTGCTTTATTTTCAGAAAAATGCATTTAAGTACAAATCACTGGAATCCAAAATAAGCCCTTTAAAGAGGGGACACTGGTCTCTATGGTAACAAGCATGTTTATGGCTCCATGATCCGCATTAAAAGTGTGCATGAGGCTTAGTAGAAAGCACAGGTGAAGATCTACCTTTTTTCTGCCAAATATTTGACCTGTTTTTTCATCCTCGAAGATAAGAGCAGTCATTTAAATGTTCTTAAATCCGGTTATTTTAAAATCAGGATTGCTGGCGCTTGAGTCGTGGTTGTCAAGCAGGGCAGAGAGATGTAAAATTCTCTGGACGTGTTCTATATTTTGCAGGTCTTCATTAGGGTTTTGTTTTCATGGCCATGCTAATTCGAGGTGCTCAAAGAGTTGTTTGGTTGGATTGTGAAGAGGTTACCTTGGTTAAGGGACTACAGAGTAATTTTTTGTTTTTTTTTATATGTTTAGTGCCAGAGAGCATCATTACTCAAAGCTTTTGAAAAAACATCTGATGGAGCCCCTTGAGTGCTCCCAGATTGGCAACGTGAATAGCAGCTTTCATGGAGGCTGCTTGCTCTAATGTGTTTTTGAGCACTGTGTACAGTGTGTGTGCTCACGTTCGTGTGTCTTGGTTTTTTTTCTTTTCCCCTCATGCATGTAGGTATGTTTGCATCATAGATTCTACTTCATTTTGTTCCCTGTGTTTGCGTGTTGTGTGAGCAACGTAGGGTTTTACACAAACAACTTGAGGCAGAGGCAAAAAGCCAGCAGCAGAAATGCACAGCTGGGTGTATTTCGGGGACTTTCTCCGGTTGTGATGTCTTAATCCTTCACAGACCTCATATAGACATTTCCTCTTCACTTACTTTTGGAACGATTGCAACTCGTGAAACAAACAGCTCTCTTAATGTCTTTTAAGGGAATCTTCTTTTTTACGGTAGCTTTTTCCCTCAATGTTCTTACTTTATTTCTTCCGACATCATCCAGCATTCCCTATCAGCTGCTCCGATGTGAACCGAACAGTCAGCAGACTTTGTTTGGCTCCTCATCTCCACGCTCTTTCCTCATTGCCTTTCCAATTCAGTTTATGTTTGGTCAAGCTCCTCCACAGAGACTTCAAAGCTCCTGCTGCAGCTTTTTTGGCTTGCAGGGGTGCACGGAGAGTAAGCAGGCATGGAGACATCGCTGGTGAAACAGCTTGGCAGAGTGGTTGCACTGCTCCTCAGAGAGAGCTGCACTGCAACACTCTGTCTCCCCCACGTGGCGCCTCATTACATCCTGTCGCCAGCACAACTCACAATTACCCCCGTTTACATGAAGTTGTGCCCAGGGCTTCCTTTCAGGTTCCCAGCGTTTTCACTGATGCAAACAGGGGTCGCTAAGTTTGGAGAGTGCTGACCAGCGTGACTAACGCGAGATATGTGCAGGGCAGGATCCCACAAAGCCCTCTACAAAGCTTTAGGAATCAGGAGTATTTTTTGCCTATGTGCCCTTTGTGGCTATCAGGTTTTAAGAGAATGACATTGTCATCTGGGTTAGCTGAGATAGGCCGAGACTGGAAACAAAGATATCATCGGGCATAGGATTAACACTAAGGTTTCCTTAAAACAGGAGGGAGCATCATGTGTTTTTTCCTCCAAATATTTTTAGAAATATCTATTTTTATCAGGAAATTTAACCAATTCAAACTGTTCAAATCTTAAGGCTTTTTGTATTCATGGCCTTTCCAATCTCCTCCTGTCCCAGGTATGAAACGCCGTTTTGGTTCTTCGTCGCTGCCGAACGCGAGCAGAGACGACAGGAGCGGGCTCTCCGCAGGCACGCTTTTTCAAATGGAGCCTGAGCCCTGCTGCAACGTCCAGGATGGCGGGACTGACCTTCAGGAGCAATCACTGGGGGGCGCTCCGCACTCTTCACTCCACAGACCCAAAAGGGAGAGGAAGCAACGGACCTACACGTTGTGTGAGGTCTGCAACATCCAGCTGAACTCAGCCGCTCAGGCCCAGATCCACTACAATGGCAAATCCCACCAGAAGAGACTCAAGCAGATCAGCAACGGCAAAATGCCCAGCAGCACAGGTAACCCCCCCCCGCAGGTGCTGCTCGACCGGACATCTCTTTGTGTGAAACAAAAAAAAGGAGACAAAATATGCAGAGCTACGGGATTCTGTAACGCTGTGTAACACAACAGGTTTAAGCTCATAAAACAGAACCCCACGCACTGTTCACAGTTTAGCACCACCAGACTCCCCGTGCCAATACTCTCCACTCCTATACAACAGAAGTTAAACAAATTGGATTCTATTTGCTGAAATATGCTCAGAAAGAGCCTTGGGCTGAGGAAACACACACACATACAAACACTGAAGGGGAGCAGAGCTGAGTAAAGTCAGCGAGTCAGGAGCTAATTAAATGCTGGTTGTGTGTTGATGGCGGTGTTCCTTGGGGTGAAGCTGCTAGAGTGCTGTTGGATTTTATTTTTGAATGTACACACAGCTTTGTTAACGAGTCTGCTGCAGGGGGACTGAGTCACCACCTTAAGTTGAACCCAACTGTTTCATTCTAAGGCCCACCAAAGTGGGGTTCATTCAATATTCCACTTTTACAAGTCGCTTAGATTGTACAAAAAGGCACAAAAGAAGTTTTTGTGTAATGACAGGTCGCACTGTGGCCATAACTGTAGGACTCGACTCATTTTATTCGGGACGGCTTGCTGACTGTGCTTGAGCACAGCAGGTCTGGGCTCTGGATGTTTACATTTAGAGGATGTGCTTCCAGAAAATGCACACAACAGATGCACAGATGTGTGCAGTAGAAGATCAGCATGAGTGTGAGATGAGCCTCCTGTATCTGATTAAATGTTGCTGCTTCAACTCTTTGATTTCATCCTTATGCCATTATTTTAAGTATTAAAACATCTGCTAAAATGCAAAGCAAATCCATGCACACTGCACAAATAAGCACAAAGCACATACAGTTATTAAAGTGAAATTAACAGTTATCGGATATAAATCATTAAAACCTTATTTTTTCTGTCCTCTAAATAAATGTTGCACTTTTAAGATAAAAATTGAGATGTTGCAGATTTAGACTAGCGATAGCACGACCAAGATGACTTTTTCCTCGGAAAAATAAAACAAAAGATTTGGCTCCAGCCATGAGTTGTAGCCTAAATCTCCAGTTTTGGTACGCTGCTGCAGGGAATGCAGACTTTCATGTATGTAGGCTGTGTTTTTCTTGCGCGGTGTTTGTGAGGCGCAGGGCAGGCTGCACTGTTGTGCTGTGCAGATTCTCTTTGACATGCAGTCACAATCACGCAGCCTTATCTCTGCTCACCTTCTGCTGACTCCCCCAGGCAGCCGGCTCTGCCGTGTCCTCAACTCCACCGCAGCCCCTCCGCGTTGTGTTTGTGTGTCTGCGTTTGTATGTGCGCATCATGCTTGTCTGCTTCTGATATTTTTAGAATTTTCTAAATGCTACGGAGTCTGTAACTTGTGCTGTGGAAATAGAAATGCATGCTTCGGTGCCTCCGCGTTTCTGCCAGCTCTCGTACAGCATGTAAAGGAAAGCATCCATGCTGGTATGGTTGTTTACAGGTTGGAAATTCAATGGAAAACTATTACGTATAGTATAGTAAAGATTAAATTTGGGTCTGTGCGTGAGAGGGTGTGTTATTCCTAGTGACTTTCCTCCATGTCGGTGTGTGTTTCCCTCCCTCTTGCTTCACTGAGCTGACAGTGGGCCCGGCCTCTTCTTCCAATGCCCTTCCTCCTTCTGGCATGGATAGTGGACATGTGGAGCAGCCAGTTATACTTGGATTTTAATATGTCAGTGATTAAGAGATTTAACTTTCCTATCAAGGAGAATATGTTGAAAAGCTTGCTGACAGATCTGGTTGGAGAGATTTGAATGCAAATGTTAAAGCGGCAATGCAGATTGATTTGCCCATTTACATATTCTGGGCCAATTTATTTTTTTCATTATATCAAGAATTTATTAGAAATATACTGTGCTTGATTTTAGGCTGGATAAATGTATTTTTTTAAGAGGTTTTATATATATATTTTAACTACGGATTTTTTTGTAACTTCTAATGGTGGCACAATTATAAACACAGTGAGTAGCAGCTGCTAATTTTTTGGTCATGGTATGCCAGTTTAGCCGCAAAGCAGAGAGTATGCATATGTTTTAATGCTGATGTTATCAAGTAAAGGCTTAAACTACAGGCAGCATCTCTTGTGGGCAATCACATCTCTCTTTGGTGTGGACTTTGAGCTTTGGAAATCTGTAGAATTTCAACAGAGTAAGCGAGAGCATAATACATAGAAAGAAAGGTACCCAGCTCATTATACAACCAAATTCAAACAGTGAATCATAGGTCAATTTGTTAACCAAAGAAAATATCCCCAATTAGTAGCTCTGTGTTGGTGATTCAAATGGGATGATAATATTAAAGCCGCAGCTATTTTTAAGTCATTTAACGCAACCAAGTGAAACAAAGTAAAACGAGTTTAATGTATTCTCAAGGGAAATTTACAGCAATTACTCCATAATTAAATTGGGAAGTGTTTCACAGACTTGGAAGTACTCTTATGCCAATTGCAAGATGTCTGTGCATTACTCCAGGCTGGGGCTATGACTTTTATCTGATGAGGATCTATGAGATGTTACACTCGTATTCTTAGACATGTACAACAGTGCGGTAGCCTTTGGTTTTCTGCTCTATTTACAGCATTGTCCAACAATGACTGTGTTTTTAATGTTTTATTCCTTGGTCTTATTTAGTTCATGGATATGACTCATGTGGGTGTCAAACGTGTGACGTATGCCGCACGTCAGCGAGCAGGAAGACGTCCAGGGCTCTGAAGGAGACAGGTTTCAAATCCTTAATTATCCGATAATAGGTTTTGTCATTAACTTTGGCCAAGGTCACACACCAACATATATAGACAGTCAATCAAAACACCGTCTGCAGTGAAAATGCTTTGTCACACACGCGCGCTTTCCAATACTGGGGGGGCTATAAATCACTGAAGATGAAAATGATGATGGAGTGTGCGGAGCGGGGAAGAGAAAAAGAGCTCGGGAGACCGTCCCGTAGGCTGGCCTTATATGACCCGGCAGCATGTGCGGGTCCATAAATCCAGCGCTCCGTCTGACAGCGCGCTGCTCCACGCAGGCCATGTGTGGTTGTTTGTGTTTTCTGGCATGTTAATCTTCCTTAGCCGCGCGAGTAGGCGTAAATGTGTCCTGTGGATGTTTTACCTTGAGTCAGAAAAAAAGTGAGAGGAGTGACAGAGCTTGTTTGTTTTTGAAAGGGTTTTCTTTTCAAAATCCTCCAAATCGCACCCACTTGCGACATGTGCGCATTTTTTTTTTGTTCTGTGTGCGCGTGCTCATTAATGTTTGTGGAATGTGAGCCTCCTCTTCACTGACACTCTATACGGCCTCCGTCTGATTGTACGGCTCTGTTTCGGTGAGGCATGAGAAATTAGATTAGATGCAAGGATGTTCTGCATAAATGCATTTGTACATGTGATGTTGCTGTTCCACGGGGAGAAGAAGATCCTTTTGTCTCTCCATTTCATTGAGTAAACATGCTTCAATTGTGGATGTCGGTGTTGTCAAACCCCAGTCCTCGGGGGTCATTACCCTGCACATTTACCGAGGTTTTCCTGCTTTAAAACTCCTGATGCAAAATTATTACCGCCTCACAGTCTTCTTTAGTTGAACTCTATTTCATTTTAATCGGGTTTGTAGAGCTTGGAAATTCCCAGTGGCTGATGTTGCAGGGATTTCCAAAGAAACACATTCTTTTTCTTTTTAAGGAGAATAAATGTAATTGATGAGGTGATACACAAGTTTACAGTGGCCATTTTGAAATGTGAATGATCTTGCATTAATGAATGAGTTCTCAAAACACCTTTCCTCTGTGCTGTCGTTTCCTTTTGTGTGTCTGAAACGCAAGGTGACAGAGAGGCCATGTGCGTTTGCTCCCATTCCTTCACCTCCGATCTCCCCGCTTATTGTCCTCTAATGGTCTTCTCCACTTTGCCCCGGGGTGCAGCCCACTATGTGATGGCGGCGCCGACTCTGAGAAAAGGTCGACAGACAAACCAAGCCAACACGCGGCGCTCAGTGGAGCACGAAGCATGAGGCGCGGTGTCTATAAGGCCACAGAAAGGGGCAGATGTCTCAAAAATCCTCCACCGTCTGTATTTACCGGGGTGGTGGCAGGTCGATGATCTGTGTCTGTGGAGAAGGCCAAACGAATCTCACCATCAGCCCTTATCTGGGCTGTCTGATACTTAAACCCCAACTGCCACAGCTGCTGCAAACACATCAGCTAGATGAGCTGAACTGTGTGCCGATTTGCTAAATGTCAGAAAATATCAGACTGTTTTCAACGGTGTTTTATCAATTCAATCACTTGGCGGGCCCCTGTTTCTCACTCACGGCTGTCCAGTTAGATAGAGTTTTAAATCAATAGTATTTTTTGATGGCTCATAAACGTGTTGGTCTGCATGTCGACGAGAAATGCTTTTACTGGACCTTCCAATCTGCCTAACGTCGGTAGATTTTTCCACTGTTTGCTGCAGAAATAGATAACCCTTCATAGTAACTGTCATGGGAATATGTCGCAGATCTGGATGTGAAATGTCAAATATGATCAATCAGTTCAGACACTTACTGCAATAATTTTCAACCCTTGATATAAACTGAAATAAACGTCTGAAATAATTGGATACACTTTCATTTAAAGATAATTTAATAAGAAAAAATCAAAACACAATTGTTCGCATTTTCACAGGATTTTAGTTTAATAAAACTTGTTGATGAAATCTCACCTTTATTGATCCACTGATATATTGCCATAACACCCTTTTCGTCCAATATTTATCTTATTAACTGTAATTGGGCCAACGGCAAATGGGATTACACCAGCGAATGGTGTGTTTATCTTTATCGTCCTGGTTATGTCACTCTTACTTAGCTACGAAACTGAGAAGATTTGTTATATATAGATTTATTTTGCTAAAGGATTTTCTGGGCCTTATCTCCACTCAACTATTATGAAGTCGGTTTGAATTTGCTGCAACTGAGTTCTTATAGTGCAAGGTGGTTTGCAAGACCAGTTTATTTAACAAAACAAGCCAATATGGCATATTTATTTCATCCTTTAAATGACCACCACAAAGCCTGACCATAACAAACTATCAAGAGTTCTGGCAAGGATTGATGGGTGCATGTTTCCTGAATATAGTGGTCTCATGAGAAGTCACTTGGTTATTATAGATGATTTGCCCTTCCAAAAAAGCATGGTGGAAGAGTAGCACTCAGCATCTTTTGTGGTGCGCTGGAAACCAATTGTGTGGTCGTGAAGTTCAAGGAAGGATGGCTCTTACTGTTGAGCTGGACTCATATGAAATGAAATAACCCCAATCATCGGGAAGAGATGAATTTTATTCAGAAAGATCAAGACATTCGTATTTTCTGTTATTAATGTTGCATTATATTATATGAATAGAATAAATATGTGACTCAGGTCCAATAATATGCATTTAAATTCCATGAGCCAGTTTCTCTTTCTGCCCTTTATAGGACAGGTGTACCCTCATCCCCCTGTGTCTCACTGCAAAAAGCTTCATGAAAGGCTTTCTTTCTGGGCATTGAAGAGCCCTTTAACCCCCTTTATCTCACCTCCACCTTAGCCATCCTCTGATCCCCATCATTACAGGTTTTTGGAAGGGCTAAATTACAGCAGAGTGACTTATTACCAGCTGTTGCACAGGGCAGGAATGGTAAGAGAGTGAAAAGGGAAGGCAGAAAGAGTGAGGAAAGAGGCTGATAAACTGGACGAAGGGAGAGGGCCAAAGAATATGGAGAGGAAGAATCACATCAACAAGACTGAGATAGAGAGAACTATAGATTAAGAAAGACACTAAGTTACTGGCTTAAAAACAGGTTAGAAGCAGAAGACTGAGAGAGACGGTGAAAAGCAGACATAGACAAACGTTGTAATTTATATAGCAAAGTATAGTTGATAACTAATAGACATGTGATATATGGAGCCTGAAAGTTTAGTGTGGCTCACAGTTCCTGAAGTTCACATGTGCCTCCCATTCGTCACACTCCACCAACGCTGTGCTGTTAGATACCAGAAGCCTTTCCACAGAGGGCCAGCGTGGTTTTGTTTCTCAGTGCTGGGATATTGCAATATCATTATTTTGAATTTGTTCTGATCTCATGAGAGCAATTCTATCCAATCCAATAAATGAAATCAGCTGCAAAGGAGTTTGACAGTGTCGGAGCATTTAGCTGGCGTAGTCGGCTGGACCTCAAGAGAGCATTTCCATGTTGAACATGTAACTGAAGAAGACAGGCATTGGTAAACAGATGTAATCTGGACAGAGTGAGATGAGAGGGAGAGTGGGAGACTGTGCCGTGCAGTAACAAAGGCAAAAGCAGAGATCTCACAGGGGAAGCTGACAGTAGGCGTGCGCCTAACACTCATTATAACCTCCTTTCCTTTTGCCTGGTTTGTCGCATGGAAAAGCAAATGTATGTATTCACATTTGAGCCTTTTTATTGTCAAATCAAACACTGTGTAACCCATCCACATGGGTAGAATCGGCTTGTGATGTAAAATGGATCCAAAGTTAAGAAAATACAATCTACAACAGTTTCCCAAAAACAAATAAACTGAAAACTTTTTTAAAAATTGTTTGTTCTGTACCGTGTTAGCGACAGTTCTTTAGGTTATATGCAAATAATAAGACAAAGATGGCTCTTTCTGAATTACACACGAATGCAAACACACACGCTATGCCATTTAAAGAGCAGAGAGGCAACTCATGGATGATTTTCATTGTTATTCATGTATTAATTTATTCGCTCAAGGCAGACGTGAAACAGGGCTGTAATATGCAGATGTGGGTTTGTTTCTCGATGGGAATTTTCCGGTCCACTGCCTTTAGCTGCCACTAATAATAAAGACAGGCAAGAGAGGCTGGGGAAGGGGGGAGTAAAAGGGGGAGGCAGCTGAAGAGAAATAATAGCTTAAGAGGTAAGGGTGGAGTTGTCAAGATGCCTCCACACATGCTGCAGTTTTCAGATCCCCTGCTCCTTTTTTTACACACAGGCAGTCAGTGACCAGGTGTGATATAGCTGGGAGTGATTTTGTCCTTTACATGAAGGTGAGCATGTAGAGTTCTCATCACTGATGTTGACAAGACTCCCAGAGCAGCTTAAGGCTGTGGGTCTTCTGACTTTCTGCACGAAAAGCTGATTTGAAGATTTTTTTTTTTAAATAAAAGAAAATTCCCCCTATTTTTCAACTTAAGAAGTAGTTGCTTTTACTTTCTACCCAGGGCCCAGTTATAACCCAAGATGTCAGCAGCCAGTATTTCTTTTCTTTTTTTTTTTTTTAACCTGCACTGAAGCTTTTTGACCTTTCTCAGTGATATTTTCAAGTCACAAAGAGTGGTGTCTTACGAAAAGCTAATATATTTTATGCGCCTCTTCATTGAGATCCCTTATTAAGAGGCTCTGCAAGGCGACGAGCCATAGAAAGGAGTGACTTTGTCACTTCCCAGGACATAAATAGCAAAAGAAATACCTAGTGGGCAATTGGCTTTAAGACATGTTGTTCTCTGCGTGTATCGTCGTGGTGTTGGACAAGGGTTAGTTCCTGTGGGAGGGTCACAGGAGAAGAACACTGACATGCCGGAGGAGTAATGATGTCAAGGACAAGATGCTAACAGGCAGCGAAGGATTCAGTCTATTTTCTCTTTGCTTCTGCATCTACAAGCAATATTAACCCCTTCCTATCTCTACCATAAAGGGAGGAAAGGAATGAGGAAAAGGAAGGAGGCCAAAATGTGGATGGGAGTTCATACAGACGTGATTATTACGTCAAACGAAAACATGGTGCTGCAACTGACTGTTGAATTTTGAACAATTAATAATACAAGTACAATATATGCAGAAAGTTATTCATGGCTCAAAAACTGCATCAGAAAAGAAGAGGAAAGATTGACAGAGCAATAAGGTTGTTTTTTTTAGGTCTCCATTAAGTAGACATTACATCCCAAAAGTGACACATCTGGTAGATAAAAGGGGAAATCAGATTTCAGGATTTTAGCATAAGCAATAACTATGATGCTTGTTATTGTGCATCAAAGAAATGATGCATTTGAACATGACTTTCTACAAACACATTGTTTAATAAGTCTTAAGTCATGCAGTTTTCACATATGTATCCACATCTGTCGAATGACAGAGGAAAAAAAATAACTGCCTGCTCCATCATCCCACATGATGAATGATGATGTCTAAACGTTGATGCCACAGCTAACACCTCCTAAAGCCGGTTTCGCATGCCGAGACAGCTGCAAATTAGAATTAAAGTTCCACATATCTATATAAAGTGGGATTTAAAAGAGACAATTTTTCCAAATTAAGCTATACACCACAAGTACACACCATCAAATAGACATCATAAAGCAAGCCACCCAAAAGTGCATATATCATCAAAAGAACATTATGAGAGGCGACTATGTTCGCTCGCTATAAACACAAACCTCACAGCAACCATCATGCATTCTGACATCTAATTCCCCCCTGATTTGTAGACACAAATGCATGGCTATCTGGAGTCAAAGCCCACAGGCATGCATCCAGGCCGGAGTCCAAGCCGTGTCAAATCAGCAGTCTTCACCAGAGGCCAAATCTGTAGCGTATAATTAGCTTTTAATCAGCACCCTCATTCAGGCGAGCAGTAGAGATTAGCACAGCTTGGGTTCTGCTTAAAATAAGCATTCATAAATGTGTGTGAAAGCCTCTGACCCATCCTCTCCAATCATACACACACAATGCTAAGCTCCTTCCCTCTGCTTTTTCACCCCACGTTTCTTCCTCGCTTTTCGTCTTCCTGATTTTTTTCCCCCCCCCAAAATTTACTTTCAATTTTCCACGGATGTTGGTCTCGTGTCTTTTTGCTGGAGGTGCAGCACAATCTTTGCTGCTCGCTGCCTCACAAAGACACCGAAACGCACACGTTTAGAGATGAAACAACAGGCCTGACCTTCGTGGCACCCTCTGCTCTGGAGGGTCTATTTGGATAATCCTATATATTGAGAGTTTAAAACGAGTGT